CCCTGACTTCCCTCAAAAGTGGACTGTAACCTGTAAGCTGAAATAAACACCTCTCCATAAGCTGCTTTTGTTCAGAGTGCTTGATCACAGCCATAGGGTTGAAACAAGAACACCTAGCATCTCTGAAACTTCCACAGGAGTCTCTCGAACGTTGAGGGTAAGTCAACGTCAAGGAAGCTGCTACTTACTGCCAGGTGCCGCACACCCCCGTGCTCCTTGCTACACTTTTCCAAATCCTTAACAGTTTCTCTAGACCACTCTTCCAGGGTGGCTCTGTCGCTATGAACCCCGTCACCTGCCAGTCTAGAAGCTCTGGAGCCAGCCAGCTCCACCATCCACTTGCTCTATGGTATGACTACTCATGGCTGAGAAGTCTGGACAGTTACATCAGATTCTTTATCACATGGCTCTTCAAGTTCTGTCCCAACCCTCAGAGGGTTCACAAATAAACCTTCCTCAAATGTTGAGGTTGAATCCAAGTGAGAGGAGACGATCAGAAACACCCACAATGAGGATTTATGTAACTGGCCAGACCCTTCAAAAATCTTAATAATTAGCTGGGTAATGTAATCCTTAGCGAGATAAGAAAAGAAGGCCAACATTCAAGGGTCACTGGGCTGTGGAAAAAAAGGACAGAGCTTTTGAAAAAAGATCTTAATGTCATGGAAAGCCACAAAATATCTGAAGACCCATTCTCTAACTAAAGGAGAGAAAAAGAGTTTGATCACAAACCATGGAGAAGTTCTGCTTGCTAGCCTTATCCTCAGGGCTTACTCAGTCTGCCTTACTATAGCCTCCAGGACCACAAGCCCAGGGTGGACCATCCACAGCGAGCTGGTCCCTCCCACACTAATCATCAATCAAGAAAATGTATTACAGGCTTCCTCCTGGGCCAGTCTAGTGGCGGTATTTTCTCAATTGAGGTTTCTTCTTTCCAACTGACTCTCGTTTGTGTTGAGTTGACATAAAACTAGCTAGGTCATAGACACACATGTATATATGTATGTATATGTACACATACATATGTGTATGTATATATTGTGAAAAAGAAAGTATTGATAATTCAAAGTCAAAGGTGTATCATATACTGCTTTTACAGATTTTTGAAAATTAAAATATTTTAAATGAAAAGTTGAGAATCTAAACATTGTTGTAATTTTAAATTCTATTCTCACACCATCTCTCTTCAGGGGAAAAATACTAATGCAAAAGGATACATGAAACAGACATGGATAGGAGGGAGAGTGAAGGTCACCGAGTCAACAGACAGTTTCCCTGAAAACAAACACATAACTGAGATCACATGGTCCACTGCGCTTGTAAAATAGCAGAATTCTTTTATTGTATGATATGCTTTATACAGTACATAGATTTTATAAAATATACACATATGTTTCATTCATTATACAGTGTATATATAGCATATGTTCACCAATTGACAAAAGGTGGGAAAAGATAATATTAGTACAAATCTGAAAGTAAGAATCCCTAAGGAGAATACAGAGAACTCCAGAATTCCTCCCTAAAGATAGCTACTCGGTCCTCTTGCAAGACCTACAACAGTCAATCCTATTCTTTGTGGCTTGAGGCTGATAATGTTCAACCCAGACAATATCAAGTACAGATAGAGATATAAGGAATGAAGGGTCCTACCTGGGCAGTGGTGGCTCACACCTTTAATCCCAGCAGTAGGGAGGCAGAGGCAGATCTCTGTGAGTTTGAGGCAAGCCCAGTTAACCAAAAAAGAAGGAGGAGGAGGAGGAGGAGGAGGAGGAGGAGGAGGAGGAGGAGGAGAAGGAGGAGAAGGAGAAGTAGGAGGTGAAGAAGAAGGAGAATGAGAATGAGAAGGAGAAGGAGAAGGGTCCTGAGATGCTACACTTGGGTGGTCAAGATGAAAAACTAATTGTAACTATGCAGAACAGACCAAGCCTGATGCAAGCAATAGTAGGTAGCATCAGGACACTGTGTCAGGGACTCAGTGGGAAGAGAGAACAGGGGAGCTCATCTTTATTAGACTCTAATATATACTCTCTAGGGGTACAAAGCCAACTCAGGGATCTTTTTGTAAACTAGAGAATTCTGCAACTGTAAAAGGGCATATTCACAGGTATTACATTTGTGTTTGGACAACATACACCTAGAGAATATGTTTGTTGACTGACAGATCATATCCGTTGATGTTGAGAAGTCTTTAAATGTGGGAATGACTTCAAATAAAATCTGATTAAGTCTTAAACAAACCATCCCAGTCAGATATTACTTGTTGAACTTTAATTCACATTCCTCAACCTCAGTAGATGCCATCATCACCTCTTCTAGAATGAATGAGGAGCACATGGACATGTGGAAGTTTGCCAAACGGCCAGTGGTGAGCACATGCTGTCGGGTGGCCCAGTGGTGGTCTCTAATGATAGTCTCGTTTTGCACCATGATTCATTGTAAAATTTAAAACCCACTGCTTTTGCATTCTTCACTCTCCCTTCAACATTCTCATGCCAGCCTGAACCAATGCCAGTAAGGAGAGCAGAACTGCAGTCTTCTTGGCTAAAATAAACACCCTAAATGAACCAAGGAAGCTGAACCAGAGGGCAGGCCTGCTCAGAGAAGCCTACAAGTCCCTCTTGAGTGAAACACAGATTCAAAGTTACATTTCTGACACACATAGCATAATAGCCATCTCTCGAAAACCCATTGGGTGCCAGGCACTTCTTAGACATTACCTCATTCAACTACAAGATAAACATTAGTAATCTCATTTCACAAATAAGAAAATTGGAGTCTCAAAGAAGCCAAGTATTTTGACCAAGACTTTTCGACTAGAAAGTAAGGAGCCAGAATACAAATCTTTATGGGTTTTTCTTTTTTATTTAATGCTTTATTAGACTGTACCAACCATTACATTCACAGAGAGAGAGAGAGAGAGAGAGAGAGAGAGAGAGAGAGAGAGAGAGGGAGGGAGGGAGGGAGGGAGAGAAAGAGGGAGGGAGGGTGGGTGGGGGAGGGAGGGGCACCAAGCAACCCACAGAAAATATCATATATGCCGGGGTACAATCAGAAAGCGGAAACCCTACTGGTGATTTAAATAGACATGGGGAAGTAGTTACACGAATCCTGGAACTATTGAGAGATGAGTAGGTAACAAAAGCTGCTAACTGTAGGATGGGGTCACCAGCTCTAGGGCTGAGCAGGCACATGAAGACCTCAGACCTTAGAAGCTTGGCAGTGCTTGGAGCTGAGACTCAGAATCAAAGGAGAGGATATGACCCTCCTACTGCTGGTTCAGTGAAGCAGGTATGCTGCTACTAAACCAATACTACTCCCAGCGTCAAAGACCTATTTCGTTATGCTCCCAGGACAGCAAGGGAGCACAAAGGGCAAGTCTATTCTTCTGCCTCGACACCCAAAGGCCCCTAGCAGAGTCTACTAGGGTGGGTTTGGGACTGAGAGAGAACAGTTTCCCAACAAGAACAATGGCGTGTGTAAGTTCCGTGCAGGTGGTTTGGGACAAGGGTGAGAGTCACTGCTGCAAGAGCATTAGCTGTCATGACTGAGTATCTGAGATCTGACATCCACAGCCTGGCTTCCTGCTCATGTCTTCACTCCTTGTCTCCTCTCACTCTCTGTGCAACTGTACAGATGCACAAGCCAGAGTTAAAAGATGCAGAATGATATGCAGAAGATTAGGAAGAGGAGAAACCAATTAGTCAAAGACAGGCCAGTCTGCATAATAAAACCCCACAACTCTTCCCCAACCCCTGTATTAGTGTTATCACTGCCATAACAGAAAGCCACCAACCAAAAAGTTAACAAGAAAAATGGCTGGGAAGACAGACAACCTCATAATGTGAGGAGCGCTGGATGCTCTTGCAGAGGACTTGGGTTCAGTTCCTAATACCCACATGATGACTCACAACCACCTGTAGCTCTAACTTCAGGGGACCAGGCATGCACATGGTACACATGCTGACATGTAGGCAAATAGTTATACACATAAAATGAAAAGAAAGTTTTAAAAAGAAAATTGCATGGTCTTTGAAGGCCTAAGTTCACTCACATCCTAAGAAAGATTCTTCTCCTTGCTCTTCTTGCTGTGGTAACACTCAGTGTCCCTTGGATATGTGGATGCATCATGTCTGCTTCTCTTAACCATAGAAGCATCTCCTCTGCAGGCCTAGGGATAGATGAAAGCCCACCTGGGTGGCTCCCCGGGTTGCCTGACTTAATTACATTTGCTATGATATTTATCCCAAATAAAGTGGGGTCTCCAGGTTCACAGAGAATAGGACTTTAGTTAGACACATTTGTTGGAGGTTCATAACTCAGTACCATACCACCATACCATGGAAAATGACTCCTGCCTTAAATGTCTTGCTTAGCAAATCCACCCACAAAGAAACCTGTATTCTTGCAGCATTTTTGGCATCTGAAGCCATGTCTGGTAGGCAGACATTACTACTTGGTGCTTGTGCCCCTTTAAGTTTCTATTCCCCTCCCTAAAGTCCAGCATGCAGCGACATCTTCGATGGCGCATGTCACCTGGAACAATGAGCCCATCCTGCTTTGCCTCATCAACTCATGATCTCATTTATCTGGGAACGGCTTTCCCTTCCCCTGTTCTGCCTCAACTGCTTCCTTTGGCTTGAGTTTACTTAGCATTTGCATCCTGCCATACAGGATTTCCTGGGCACGACTGATCCAAGAAGTGTGAATTCAGAAGAAATCAATTCAGATGCCCTCAGTTATATATAGCACAGGAGGCTCCCAGAGCCTCCATCCCTACATCCTGGTGAGACTCTGTCCTCAGTCCTAAGCCTTTACTCCATAGCCCAGTGGGAGAAGCGAACCTTCGCATCCCAATTTCTCTTCCTGACTGAGTAAGAATTGTCCAATTTGCAATTCACCTGATGGGAACATAGTTTGGAAATTTGCCTACCACAAATATGCATTTCTTCCCTTCTCCTGTGTGTGGGTTGCAAAAAAGATTTCTCAAGTAAGCTGAGTTTAAGAGAGAAAGGTACATTTTATTATTTTGCAAACCAAATGTGAGCTGAGAGACCTCTAATACATAATGAACTGCATCACCCACTCTTGGACTGTGAAAACGTAAAATGCCTTTCTCTCCATTAAGTATGGCAGACTCGTCATCCTTGGTGTAAATACTTCCTGAAGTATTTATTAATGAGTAACTCCAGCATGCGTAGCACCAAACGCTTGGGTTATAAATTCAGACATTCTCATGGTTTGCTTCCTGTAAGAAAAAGGAGGTGTATATTAGAAAGCGAATCCTGAAAGTCAGCCAGGGATCGGCTTCTGTTAGGTATATGAATCCATCAATATGTATTTGAATTAGAATTTTCAGAAAAGTATTTTCTGCCCCTACAGACACAGCTATTGATAAAACAGCATTATTCTTCCATTTTTTCCCACAAAGGCCTAGGAAACATCACCGCCCATGAAGGACACATTTGACGCTTGTCAAGATAACCACCCCTCAGCATTTTGTTTCTTTTCTGCAAGCTCGTCCTCATGTGTGGGTTCACATTGTGCTCTGCTTTTCTGTTCTGTTCTGACAGCAGATGAAAAGAGCAGAGCAAGTGGTTTCAGACATGCCACCTAGCACTCATGCTCTGCCCTCCGTGGTTTGGTGCTCTGCATTAATGTGAAAGTCGTTAAGTCTTCAATACCACATCACAAGTTACTAGAGACTGGAAGAAAAATACCTACAAGGAATTATTCATGAGGGCTCTATAACTGCATTATCACAGGAATGGGCTCATTGTCAAGAGTGATTTAACTGTAAGAATTCACCCTCCCATGTGGAGAAAGGGGAACACTCCTCCGTTGCTGGTGGAAGTGCAAACTTGTACAGCCACTTTGGAAATCAGTATGGAGATTCCTCAGGAAAATGGGACTCAGCCTACCACAAGACCCAGCAATTCCACTCTTAGGCATATACCCAAAAGATGCCCATTCATACAACAAGGATGTCTGTTCCACTATGTTCATAGCAGCACTATTTGTAATAGCCAGATCCTGGAAGCAACCTAGATGCCCCTCAACTGAAGAGTTGATAGAGAAAAAATGTGGTACATTTACACAATGGAGTACTACTCAGTGGAAAAAAGCAATGGAATCTTGAAATTTGCAGGCAAATGGATAGCCCTAGAAGAAACCATCCTGAGTGAGGTAACCCAGTCACAAAAAGACAAACATGATATGTACTCACTCATATATGGATTATTGACATGGATCAGGGGAGTGCCACCCTACAATTCCACTGCCAGTGAGTCTGGGAAACAGGGAGGTTCCCAAGAGAGATATGCAAGATACCCCAGAGAAGGGGAATGAACCAAGATCTCATGAGCAGATTGGGAGCATGGGGAAAGGGGAGAGGGAACCTGGAAAAAGAGATGGGGAGAAGAGGAGAGGAGAGGAAGATATGGGGAGCAGTAAGGTTGAGTGGGGGGAAGAATGGGGGAGAGCAGGATGAGAGATACTATAATAGAGGAGTCATTATAGGTTTGAAGAGACAGCTAACACTGGTGGGATTTCCAGAGATCTACAAGGATGACACTAACTGGCAAACTAAGCAATAGTGGAGAGACTACCTTAATTGCCCCTCCCTGATGATGAGATTGACACTACCTTACATGCCATCCTAGAACCTACATCCAGTAACTGATAGAAGCAGAGGCAGATACCCACAGCTAAACACTGAACTGAACTCCTGGAACCCAGTGACAGAGATGGAGGAGTGATGAGCCAAGGGGTCAAGACTATCAGAGAAAGTGGACCTGACAAGGGGGAGCTCCTGGACCCCAGACTGATGGCTGGGAGGCCAGCATGGGTGTCAGTGAGGAGGCCTCGGCAATCTCTGGAGCCTTGGGTAGTAGAGCAGTGTTTACCATGGCGTACAAATGAACTTTGGAGCCCATTCCATATGGAGGGAACCTCTCTCAGCCTGGACACATGGGGGAGGGCCTAGGCCCTGACCCAGATGAAGTGACAGACTCTAGAGATCCCTCATGGAGGGCCTCACCCTCCCTGGGGAATGGTGTGGGGATTGGCGGGACTGATAGAGGGGCAAGGGAGGAGAGATGGGAGAGGGAGCTGGGATCCACATGTGAAGCAAGCTTGTTTCTAATTTAAATAAAAATATATTAAGAAAAATAAAGAATCTACCCTCTCTCTGTCTTCTGCTTTCCACCATGAGATGAAGCAGCAAAACCAGATGAAACTTCTCACTCTGAGATCCCCTTGCCTCCAGAACTATAAACCTGCTGTTCATTACACGCTTGAAGCATAAAACAGAGTAATACACACACACACACACACACACACACACACACACACCCCAATATGTCATGATTACACCTCAGATCTCAAGACTGTCTCTTAGATGCCAGCATTTCCAGATATGTGGGGGGGGGGTGTGCAGGTGGGGCTCATTGTTGCATATTCAAGACACCTGATGGTGAATTGCTGTGGGTTCCTTGTATACATGATACTGTGAAGAATCAGACAAGCCAAAAATAAAGCTAAATGCAGACACGTTTGGACCAAGTCCAGAGTCCTCCCAAAGATTAGAGATAACACACCACTGTACTAAAGTGTGGGCAATGTCAGCCTACACAGTGAATGCGCCTCCCTAATGGTGAAGGTAGCTTAGCATCACAGGAACGGTATAGACTTGAGGGTTGGATCACAGATACGCAACTAACAGCTACACAAAGCAGTGAGGCTTTGGACAATTCTGTAATATAAAGGCGCTAACTTTGTATGCTATTTATGAGATGAAATAGGCTTACAGAACCTTTAGGAGATGCCTAAAAAGAGGACATCACTCTGGTAGATGAACTTACATCCATGTATGTATTGTCAGCCAGACTCTGGGTTAAAAAATGAAGACATGAACTTGGGAAGGAGATTTAATGATAGGGGAGGAGTTGGAGTGAGTCCTGAGAAGGGGATATAATCAAATTATATCATATAGAGATATGAAATTCTCAAAGGATAAATTAAAAGTATATTTTCAAAAACCAGAATATTATACCTCCATGAGTTATGATCTGTCTTATTTTCTGGTAAGCCTCCTTGTTCATTAACATACACCAATGAGAAAGTCTGAAGACCAGCCAATAGCAGACTAGCTCACCAGGAGCTGCTCATTGGGAGCCAAGGCCTGATTGCACACACCTGTCATCCAAACTCCTACAGAGACTACAGGAAGATCACAAGTTCAAGTTCTGCCTGTATAACATCCTGAGAAACGATTTCAAAATGAAAAGTGAAAAAGGGGGTGGGGGTACAGCTCAGTGATGGAGCATGATCTACCATGTGCAAGGTTCAGGGGTCTACCTACTCACCAGATATAATCTGCTTATTGGTTTGTCCTCCTTCTACTTCATCTATGTGTTCATTTACTGAGCATTTATTATGCTGCTATACATGTTAAACAGTAGATCTAGATTCCTATAATAATAATAACAATATACACTCAAGCCCCTCCTTGTCCACGGGCTCTACAATTGGGCATTCAATCAACCTTACATTGAAAACATTTGGGGAGGAAAGTGTCTGTATTGAAGATACACAGAGCTCTTTCATCCCATGAACAATAGAGAATAATAAATTAACTGCAGAGAATTTTCATCATATCGGGCTATACAGAAATTTAGAGATCACTTAAACTACATGGGAGAATGTGCCTGGGTTGTATATGAATACTGCTGCACTTTCTATGAGGGACCTGAGCATTTGTAGGTTCTAGTGTCCTGGGGAGGGGGTTCTGGAATTAGTCCCCTAAGGACACCCTCCAAGGGTTACTGTAGTTTATCTTCTTTCAATTCTTTTGTTTTTTGTTTGTTTGTTTGTTTTGTTTTGTTCCAGTCAGGGTTTCTTTGTGTAGCTTTTGGAGCCTGTCCTGGTACTCACTTTGTATAACAAACTGGCTTTGAACTCACATATATCCACCTACCTCTGCCTTGTGAGTGCTGAAATTAAAGGTGGGTGCCACCACTGACTGCTTCTTCTTTTCATTCTTAAGGGAATCATGTGTCACATGTCATTGTCTGCATCTTGTTCCTGAATAAACAAGACCCAGACAAATTAAAGCATTATCTCAAGACCCCAGAGCCGCATGGGATGGACCTCAGTGCTCTAACTTGTGGATCTGTTTCCTGGGGAGGCTGGTAGTCCCCTAGCACTGTCCAACAGAACTTTCTAGAATGACTGAGTGTTTCACATCTGTACAGTCTAATACTGCAGCTCCCAGCCCAGTGTCACTTCTGATCACGTGGCATGTGCCTAGTACAAATAAGCTTCTAATATTTTTTTGCACTTTCATTTTAATAAATTTACCCACATGTGGCTAGTGGCTGCCATTCAAATTAGCATGGGACATTAACACTGAACTTGAGAACCACCAAGTGCTTGTGGATCAGTCACTACTGTCTTTCAATAAGAACTTCCCCCATAGCTATCCCTTCTGTAGCCCCTAACCCACCGATGAGTCCAAAAGCACACACCACCCACATCACCTGACTTTTTTTTTTTTTAACGTAGGCTCCGTGACTTGAACACAGGTCCTTATACTTGTTTTGAAAGCACATTACTGACCGGGCTCCCCCAGCCTCACAGTGAAATGTCTAATAAAAAATGTTTCACTGTCCTCTTAGACCTGTAATGTCCAGTCCTGTGGGCACCATTTGCCTCCATCCCCATGACAATCGTCTGCTGAGATGGTCCCCACCCACAGTGCCCCCAGCAACCCTCTTTGCTCATCTTACTAACCTGGTCAGAACCTGCAGGGTTTTGTGGGTACAGGTTGAACCTCCCTCTGGGGGGCCTGAAAGGACACCACAGTGCTAGTGAGGTATCTGAGGCTTTGGGGAGAGGGTAGGAGGGATGGGTGTCAGGATAGAGTGAGGGGCACTGAGAGGACCTGGACCTCCTTGATAGGCCACAGTCCACCTCTCTTGTTCTGGTAGATGACAGCTTATTTGTTTGTTTGTTTTTCAGTACCTTAGTTGAACATCCCCCAAAGTGTTTTTTCCTCTCATTCTTTCTCCCAGGGCCTTAAACTATGCCAATGGCATAAAAAGAACTTGAAAGGATGAGTCCTTCCTAACAAAATGAACTCACTTCCAAATTCCTCCATTCACTCTTGAAGCGATTGTTCCCGCCTGTCATTTTCCCTGCTGAGCCCTCTGTATTCCTTCCTTGCTAGGCACTGAATCTGTGGTTGTCCCCCACTGTGCTGGTTACTTAACTCCAGACCTCTGCCTACACAGCCGGCCCAGCCAAACATTTCCTCCCTGCCTCTCAGCATGGTCCTGGAGGTCGAGTCACAGTTATTGATGAAATCCTAGCTTTGACACACTTCTTTTCTTCTCTTTTTTGATTCAATCTTTTCACTTGAGATGTTCTCCGTGACTACAAGACAGAAAGAGTTCAGGGGGTTCCCAACACCCAGAGCTCCCTTTGCCAAGAGGGGCTTTGTGTTTCTATATTCTATATCCCAGCAGTTAGCAGTGCCTCTGACACAGTGGGAGTTTTCAAGATAATGTTCTAGGTGAGAACAAGACCAGAGGAGGAAGATGTGAACAGAACAAGCAACAGAACAGGAGTGGCTAGATCTGAAAAGGGTCAGGTGAGGCACGCTAACTGTAGCTACCAACCTCACCTGTTCCCTACCCTACCAAGTTAGCTAGTTCACCAATTTGATCTTCTATTCTCTGGTCTTTGAAAAGCAGCTAATAACTTACTTACTGCCAATGAATAAAACAAACATCAGGCAAAGCACAAAAGTACTTAAGAGCTCAGTGATCTTGACCCTAGGAGCTCATGCAGCAGAAACGAAACTGTTAGATGCATGAGGTTCATTAAGAATTCTACCCATTAACAAAATACCTAAAAAGACCTAATGTACTCAGTTTCTATCCCTGGTCACACAGCCGTTTAATCCCGAATAAACACACAGAGGCTTATGATAATTATAAATTGTTTGACCGATGGCTCAGGCTTCTTGTTGGCTAGCTCTCTCTTAATTATTAACCCATTTCCATGAATTTGTGCATCCCCATGTGGTCTTAGATTACCGGTGATGCCTAGGTCTCTTGCTTCCTGGGCAGCTACATGGCATCTCCTTGACTCTGCCTACTCCCTTTCTCTATCCCTGTTTGGATCTCCTGCCAGGCTAAATCCTGCCTGTCCATTGGCTGAAACAGCTTTATTCATCAACCAAAAAGAGAAACACATATTCACAGCATACAGAAGGACATCTCCCATCAACCCAACTCCTTCGATGGGAAAAAATGACTCCCACGTCATAGTTCAACTTGATAGACTATTCTCAACAATGAGAATGAACGTTTGTGAGGAGTGAACACACAGACCCTCTATCACTCTCAATGCTGCTCTGGTGTGCTTTAAAAATCCAGATCTGTTCCCACTGGATTCAATAACAGGATTGCTGGGTCACGTGGTTAAGGCGATTTAAATCCAAGCCCAGTCAGTCTCTAAAACAGAAGTGATGTTGAACTTTCGCACCACAGTATGTGCGAACCTGCCTTCTTCTACCCTTCCCTGCACTCACTATGGTGAAGTTTTCCCATCTCAGCCATGCTAATAGACGTGCATTGGTATCCCCATACAGACTGGGTCTCACTAGAACTGAGCCCCACCATTGCCTCCTTGTAATTGGATTCACTCCTATCTATCAGTATCAATGGGAATGTGAATATTCTTGTCTAGTCCCCTTACTTGGCTCGAAGCATCTTTAAAGCCAGAGCCTGCCTTATTATGGTCCTGATTCCCATCACCGGAATTGGTAAATGTTGCTTAGTAGGCATTTAATCTCTGAGTGAGTGGTGAGTGAGTGAGTGAGTGTGTGCAGTGAAGATCAAGTGAGATATCTGGGAATTCTGTGAGGATCCAGAGGTGTGACTGCCCGTATTCTGCTATGTGAACATTTGCCTTGGCTCTGTGATCTGGTTGTGTGGCCAAGTCTATGCCCTCTGTGAACTTCTGCCTCCATCCCAGGGTGCAGCCAGCAGAGCCTTGACAATCCCCACTTTGGAATCCAGAAGCAAAGCTTTCTAGATGATGTACACAGAAGCAACCAAGAGGGGCTAGATCCAGTGAACCCTGTGCTGCCCAGTCCCTGCTTTCTGAACACCACAGCTCACCATTGCTACAGAACATTTCCCCACAAAATAAAAGTTATTAATTGAGTGATGTAGCCCAATCTCTAAGCACACCTATTTTCTTAGAAGGCACTCTTGTCTCTTGATTCTGACAAGGAAATGCTGTTTGCCTAGGCAGACACCAAGTAGCTCTGTCCTCACAGAGACCCCTTGAGGTTCTTATTTGATGACACGGAGTTGGAGACAAGACTTTCATGGTTGTGACCCACTGTTCTCACCCTTGCTAGAGCTCTCAGAAGTAACCTCCTCTCTGTCACTACTTTGTCACTTGACTATCAAGTCTTTCCAGTTTCCCCCTCTGCCTTGTCAACACCACCGCCAGTCTGCATATCCCTGGCGCAGAGAATGGCAACTTGCCTAGATGTCCCTCTTTGAAAGAAAAGCATTTTCCACTGCATCATCCACGCCCCTCACCTGCCTTTGTTTTAACAGTTTCTTCTGCTGCAGCCGAGGCCCAAGATACAACCATCCAGTGTCTGAGGCTGCAGGCCGTCAGTGGCCTTCATTGTCATGTCTGGCAAAGTCTGACCACAGTGAGAAACCTTCAAGTCCATACTCAGGGGCAAATGCTGACAATAGGCTAGAATAACATAAAACTTAGAATTGAATTTCAAGTCCTTCCCCACCCTATGCTGGGAGGGAAAAGTCCTTTGTTTACTCCTTTGTTTGTTCTGACAATCTGGATAGACCTATGGCCTCCTGGGTAATTGTCAACGTTGGCTTCCTCCCTAACGTGGGCCTAGGGCTCCAGCTCTATCAGGGACACCAAGTCTCTTGACACCAACTCCTGCTCCCTGGAGACAGGTGCTTTGCAGGCCCTTGGATCCACAGGAAGCTTTAGAAAACAAAATGGTTCTTTTGGGAGAGAACCAGGAGATGGAAAAGCCACTCTCAGCAATACGTCCTCTGCAGCATGGGAGCCGTGGGCACAAACAAGCTCACACACTGTGAGAGCAGAGAAAAGGCTTGGAATGCTTGCTCGTATTTTCCTAAAATACCCAGTGAACCATGAGCTGAACACCTGAGGCAAACTGGGAACTGCTATTTTAACAAAGCACAGCCTAGGAAACAGTCTGCACATGTTCTGCAACTTGAGCCAGCCCCAGAGAGATTCCTGGCTGCATTTTATGGGTGACTAACATTGGAGTTAAATCAGCAGGGTTTTCCAAACACAAACCTCTGGAGAATGAGGCTACTCTACAGCTCACTTCAGTATGCCCCGCCTCCTGGGAGCTGAGACGTGTGTTTTGCTGGGCAGACAATGGGCACTCTTGAGATGTTCATAGAGGTTGTTGTCTAATCTAGGCTTGTTTCATTTCATCTGTTGACATAACTCTTACAGAGAACAAGAGAGGAATGTGCAGCACCAGACAGGAAACACACCCGTTCATTCCACCAGCATCTAGGGCGGAGCTCTGCTCTCCGGATGATGCAACTGGGGAACACCAGATGACTAAAGCACAGTTGAACAGGGCAGATGTGAAAACAGATAATTAAAATAACACAGCCAAGTGCTGAATAAGGTTTGTACTGATGGCTGAGGGAACACAAAGAGGATATAATTCATTTTGCCAGAGGGAGTCAGGATAAATTGTATCTTACCAGGATGCTCATGAAAAAAAAAAGGATGAGGATGATGTATACAAACACACAGAGACATGGAATCCCCTGAGATGTTTGTGGGGTCTGAGGTACAGTGGGAATAGAGCCAATGTGAGTCTGGTACTCTAGGTTGTGGTCAGATATGAAAGCACACTATACGGTCTACAGTAAATTCTTTGGGTAAGGGAAAAGCAACTGAGGGCGCCAAGCATAGCTATCGCTGGCAGGTTTTAGAAAGACCCATCAGGCAACAGGCAAAACTTGCCATAAGACAGAAGGTCAAAAGTTTGTATCGAGGGACAAATAAAAGATAATGGAAGCCCAAAGTAGATGAAGACTTTATTTTTGTGACAAACTCTCCAAGAAAGCCTTCCTAAAGAAAGGAATCTTTATTTTGGCTTAGAGTTGCCAACTCTTCGGTCTGTGATCATTGGCTCTTTCTGGTTGAGCCAGTGGTAAGGTCAAAAAGAACAAAGAAATCATGGTGGAGTACATGCTGTGGAGCGAAGCCGTTCAACTCGTGGCAGCCAGGAAGCAAAGAAGCAATGAGGCATTAACCAGGGCCCCAAAATACTTTGCAAGGACATCATCGACAATAACCTACTCCTGGCAGGCCCTCCTCCTGATGTTTCACCACACCCCGACAGCATCGCCATCTAGAGACCAAGTCTAAGGCATATGAGCCTTTGCGGGACATTCAAGACCAAATACTAACAGGGAACCAGGGAAGAGGTCTTCAGAAATGAGTGGCTAATTAGATTTGAAGAATGAGGTATGTAGTCAAGGGTGACCCTAAGATTCCTAACTTGGCTAATTGACTCAGAGATGACGGTGATAACTTAGCTGAAGAGTAGACAACCCAAGTAGGCAAAAGGCAGGAGCCTGAGACATCAAGCCTTGCTCTTCTAAACTGTTTTCAATCACTGGGGGGATTCTAAATGGCCTAATGAAAGTTGGTTTCATTTAGATACCATTTTGGGGGTGGGGTTTGAGACAGGGTTTCTCTGTATTGCTTTGGAGCCTATCCTGGAACTTGCTCTGTAGATCAGAACTCACAGAGATCCGTCTGCCTCTGCCCCTCTAGTGCTGGGATAGACACCATTTTTAATCAATTGCTGCATGCTTAAGATGCTTCTGTTACTGAGGTTGGTCTTAGGTACTGTTCTTTAAGACCAGTGAATGCCAATGCTAGTTTGGGACCTTTCCCTGCCCTGCTTGGTTCTCAGGGATCAATGGTGGTGAAAGACCACACACTGAGCAGCGTGGACCATTAGCCCCTTACCCTTTTCCATACCTCCTGAGTTCCTGGGTCAGACCAGGTCCTGGGAAGAGCACCTGCAGTGAACATTCAAGGCTAAGAATCCTCACACGAATGCCCAGGGAAGCTGCGGTGACACTGAGTGTGGTTGTTGTCACCTTGGCAGATTTAAGAAGTAGAGGTGGGAACAAGGTGCTCTATGAAAGTCTTGTCTCACCTGAAAGAATGCCCAGAGACCTCAGAGCTACTTAGCCCCCCTCCCTGCCCTCCAATCTGAGCAGCTTCAAGCTGTAGGGCTGATTGTCACTTTGTATAATTAGCCACGCATTGGCCACATCCCAGGGACAGCCTTGGCTGTGAGAACAGTGAAGTCCCTGTCTGTCATCTAAAAGGCTTCTGTCTGAAAATCTGAAATGTAAATGTCTAAAGGTACTGAGGGGACACGACTACATTAAGCTACAAATAAGCTGGGCAAAGGAGATAGCCCTGAGTGGGGGTAGGAAAAGGACTTCGAGACGTTGTGAGGGCTGATGAGCATTGGGTTTACCACAGCCCGAGAGGAGTAGGGAGGGCTTTCTGAAAGGCTAACAGTGGGACAGGCAGGAGAGCCAACCCCTCAGATGGACTGACAGCTGTGACGGAAACTCCAGCCTGGTGGCAGACAGAAGCATTCTCACTGGCGGAAGGAGAGACCCTTGAGACTGCACGGAAGGGGCAGAGCAGACTGGGTTTTCATTTAATGACCTGGGAGCCGGCCAACGTATCTGAACATAGATCTGATGCTGGAGAGAGGTCCATTTAGTAGTAAAACTCGATACACATAGGCCAAGGAGAAATGACAGACAAGATCAACGAGGTGACCACCAAGAGATGGAGTGGGGGATCTATGGCTTTTATTAAGTCATGTGCAGGATGAAGGCATTTACACACAGCTACAAATGAAAGAACTTACTGTTCTGATTTTATAGTGAGTCAAGGAGAACCTCAGAGAGTTTAAGGACACGCCTCCATGTGGGAAAACCAAGGTTCACAGCCCATTCTGTTGGATTTCCAAGCCCATATATATTTCACTCTGATACTCTAGCGGACTGGATTAATGAGATAAGAAGAGCGATGCTCAGCCCAGGCTGCACACTAGATGCCCAGGTCCAAGTGGGGTAGCACCTTTAACACCAGCACTTGGAAGGCAGGGGCAAGCATGAGTTCCAGGCCAACCTCATCTAAACAGTGAGTGCCAGACCAGCCAAAGGTATATGTATGCTGGTGTTTGTTTAAAAGCTCTCCAGATGATCTCACCCTCCAACATGCAGCCAAGTTTGGGAACAAATTGCAATCCATGTTACAAAGGAAGACTTGGCCAACAACAGTTGCTGGGAAAACCCGAGATCAGGTGCAAAGGTAATGTCAGCTTCCTGACTTAAATAAAGACAGAAAGGCTGAGGCAGAGAAAGGAGGAAATGGCTTCCATCACTGTTTACTTTATGACGGCCAGATAGAAATGCCCCATCTGTGCCTGACAAGATGAACCAAAGCTTCTGAAGAGTCAAGGCCACACCAAGGTCAGCACCTCTAACAGTGGCATGGTCCGATAAGGTCAGTTAGTACAGCTGAACAGGGACAGATCACTCGTTTTCTAAGTCACTTGTTAAAACTCAGTCATCACTAAGTAATAAGCCTCCACAATTTCCAAAATTACATTTCTAAAAATAAATTCTCAGAATTCATTTAAGACTTATTTTTAATTGTGTGTGTGTGTGTGTGTGTGTGTGTGTGTGTGTGTGTGCATATACACATGTGTGAACACAGGTATCCACAGAGTCCAGAAAAGGATTCTGGGCCCCCAGGAACCAGACCTAAGAGGCAGTTATGAGCTTCCAATCAACCTGGATACAGGAAATGAGCTTGGTCCTCTGCAAGAGCACTTTGTGCTCCTAACCGCTCAGCATCTCTCCAGAACTCATCCCTTCACAATCATTTTACTGAACTTTATTATTAGGTAATAGTATAATTCGTTAATACAAATATTGTTTATATCTGCCTTGGCTTAACAATGGGCCGACCAATGAGGACCTACTGAGAGTCTTCCCAGACTCTGCCAGCATCTGTCGCAAGTAGCCATGACAAGGCATATTTGACCGTGAAGACTGGCTTACACTACAGATTAGGGTTGCTCACAGGCCCAGACCCCAAAAGATGATTATTAATTATTCACCGGCACACCACGGCCAGCAACTGTACTGCAGGCTGCACGAGAAAAATGACCCGTAAGTGTGCTTGTAGAACCCCATTACGGTACAAACGAAAAGAACAAGACAGAAGCTAAAGCTTTCCCCCACCTAACGTTTCCCCAACACAGGCTTTTAATACTGCTCCAGCCCTTTGAAATTGCTACTATTTCAAATAAATGTTTTATTTAGCCCTGTGAATAAGGCTCTTCCAGCCAGAGGAGACAGAGCTCATATGAACACATAAAGTCACTCTTGAGTAGAAAGCACTTTCCCTTTAAGGCAATCACATGAATTCTCTTTATTCCTGTGAACACACTGGGGAGGCAGTGAAAATGGGAAAGAATAAAAAGGTGTTAAATTAGAAATCATAGCATTACCTACCCTTGCTGCTGATAAGAAAACCTTTCTTCCCATCCTGGGAAACCTCTGCTTCAGGACTGTAACTGTCTTAAGAAGGTTCTGGAACCAGCCTCCGACCATCAGCATTTCTCAGACGAAGACCATTTCACACTGCTTCCTTTCTTCCTCATTCCCTGGGCTCCTTGTTTCTGCTCTAACCTAGGACAGGGGTCGCAGCCTCAGGAAGCTCACTAGGGAGCCAGCCAGGGTCAGGAGCCCTGGGTCTTTTTGCCTATTTTGTCACGACGACACCCCCTACTATACCTGCTGCATTGCTCCACCAAGCTCCCATGTGGCCTCTTGCCCTTCCCAAACTGGCATCTGGAGTACCAGTCAATGTATGCTTAGTATCCCTCCCATCTTCCCATGATTCATCTGTGCTGCCTGCCAAGCAGAAGGCGCCAGGTCAAGCAACTGAAGCAGGGCGTGTGTGTGTGTGTGTGTGTGTGTGTGTGTGTGTGTGTGTGTGTGTGTGTGTGCTCCCTGTCCAGATAAAGGGACTGAGAATGGTGGGGACCTAAACAAAGGGACAGGGACAGGGACAGAGGACAGTCTCTAGAGCCAGTAGGGGTTCCTAAACAAAGAGGTTGTTTTGTCTGGGGTTGTTTTGCTTCTAAGAATTGCAAGAATTTGTTGAATTTGTTTGTTTTCAATTGCTGGAAAGATAGTTTTTTTTTTCCAAGCAAAATTTCCTGAGGGATAATCCTGGGTTCCATCCAAACCAGACCCATACACTATGTATCCCCTAAACAGCCTCTGGGAACAGCTGGGCTGGACAGGGATGACATGCCCAAAAGCCTAGTGGATGTTGGGTTGGGCAGGAACCAACTATGTCTAGTGGAGATGCCTCAGAACTCAACAAGGTTGCCCAAGCACCAGTGATAGCAACAAGTATCCCTTGTCATTCAGATGGGAAATCCTGGAGAAGTCTGGGGAAGGGGGTGGCACACAAAGCCACTCTGGGGAACTTTGAAGCAGTCAGTAACCTAGACAAGAAGGAGCCAATTTAGAAGAACAAGACCAGAGCTGGAGAGATGGCTCGACTGGATAAAGTATGTGGTAAATGTGAGAACCTGAATTCAGATCCTAAAATACACGTAAAACAGCACACGTTTGTAACCCCAGTGTTCAAGATGAAGACAGGATGACCCCCGGAAGCTCACAGGACAGTTAGCCTGCGTCAAAAGACTCCATTTTGAACAAGGTAAAAATCAGGGACCAAATTCTGAGGTTGTCCCCTGACTGCTACATGCACACCGTGGCATGCACATACCACCGTCACATGCAGACCGTGGCATGCACACACAAGTACCACATGCACACCGTGGCATGCACACATGACCGTCACATGCACACCGTGGCATGCACACACGAGCACCACATGCACACCGTGGCATGCACACACGACCACATGCACACCATGGCATGCACACATGACCGTCACATGTACACTGTGGCATGCACACACGACCACATGCACACCATGGCATGCACACACGACCACATGCACACCGTGGCATGCACACAGGAGCACCACATGCACACCATGGCATGCACACATGACCGTCACATGTACACCGTGGCATGCACACATGACCGTCACATGCACACCATGGCATGCACACACGACCACATGCAGACCGTGGCATGCACACACAAGTACCACATGCACACCGTGGCATGCACACATGACCGTCACATGTACACCATGGCATGCACACACGACCACATGCACACCGTGACATGCACACACGACCGTCACATGTACACTGTGGCATTCACACATGACAACCACATGCACACTGTGGCATGCACACACGACCACATGCACACCAGAACACATATGAGAGGGTGGGAGACACCCCCCATGGGGGGAGACGGGAGACAAGAAACAGCCTTTGTCTCCCTAATTCCACCCCAGCTTCTGTAGAAGGTGCCGGGGCACTGGTTCTGGAACTCATTCACAGGCGTTCCGGCTTGAGCGCCTGTTCATGTGCCCTGACCACAGGACTCTCCGTGGCTGGATAAAAGGAAGCAAAATTGCCGAGAGGGACCCAGGCACTCAGGGGCTGACACGAGATGGCCTCCTGAGGCCTCTTTCCAAGGAGACTAAACCTCCCTATGCATTTGGAGGACCTCCCTAACCTCTCTAGAAGTAGGGAATTCGGCTCTTACTCAGCAAACGAGATCAGCTGGCCTCCTCCCTCCTTGTGGTGTGGGTGTTAAGCGCGTACCTAGCTGCCACCCTGCCAAGAGGTGTGAGGGTCACAACATCTGCCACAATGGAAAGCATTCATTTAAGGTGCCTGCCGGCTTTGGCCACTAAGGCAAAGAGAGGCACAGCCCAGCTGTCTGGAAGCTTCTGGAGCCTCTTACCCACACAAAGGGTAAACAGCTGAGCAAACACTGATAAAATGGAGCTGTCAGCCACAGAAGCGGATACAAATGCAGGCCTGAAGAAATGGAGACCTTCGCTTGGGCCCAGGGGTGCTTGGGAGGCAGCTAGCGGACGGAGCTGGGATCAGGATGAAGGACCCTGCCCCTCACTCATTGCTCAGACACTCCCAAAGTCACAAAACCAGCAGAGAATGTCTCTGGAGTTTCTGCCACCCACACACCGGACAACCCCTGTCTCCCTTCGCTGCACCCTGGCATCTTCTGTGAGCAGCCTTCTATTGTGCTTTTATCAGAGGGAAAGTGCGTGGCTAAAATCACAGCAGGACAGAGTCTCCCAGCCTGGCCCCCACCCGCAGCTATCTTGGCTGGATCCCTGATTCGTCGGTTCACAGGCTCTGACATAAAAGGCAGGAAGTTACACGCACTACACAAAGCTCCTTAGATGTCAGGAAATTAACCTGGGAAATCAGAGCCAACGGTGATTAAAGGCACTGTAGCCTGAGTTCAAAACTCAGTATGGCGTTAGATCAAAAGCTGTTTGCTGGGCACCCCAGGCTGCGCGCTGCCAGACTCCACACCCACTAAAAACTCCAGGCAACAGGGCTGCATGCGCGTGTGCTGGGCGTTTCTCCTGTTGTAGGGCTCGATGCTCGGTCAGATCTATAACTTCTAACTGTTTGTCTCGGAGGTTTGCCTGCCTGCCCTTGGTGAAACTGCCCTGAGAAAAGCAGCTGGCTGGCCACTTCCTTATAAGGGAAGAAGAACAAGGGGTCCCGCGAGGGGCCCCAGGAGAAACAAAGAGAAGCCTTAAAAGGAGAGCGGGGTGAGGCAGAGGATCCTGACCTTCCCAGCTAAGAAAACAAACTGCCTTGTGGAGGACAGGTCAGAGCAGGGCACACTGTAAGGCTGTGAGAATCGCTATTTACGCACACAGCGATAATAACATCATCCCGAGTCCCTCTTCAAGAGATAAGAATCTTAGCAACGAAGGGTTAGACAAGTGTCATGGCATCCTGGGATGTGTGAACAGCCTTGACGTTTACATCCATCTAAACGGTCTAGGGCTTTTCTACACCACCTCCCTGTATCTCTAGCACGCAGGACACATGGGACATGGACCCATTTTACAGAAGAGAAAATGGAGGCCCAGTGTCACACATTGAACCCTCATTTTACTCACTCCTGGCCCCAGGGAAGGTGATAGTGACACAATACCATGTTTCTCGTAAATGTGCTTTGAAACATTTGCAAAAATAAGCTCATCATGGTACCCATCACTGGCCTTTCAAAATCATAACATGGAAAGGTCAGAGGGGACCTTATTCTGGTTATTTATCAAGAAACAGCACGGGAGATAGAAACCCCACAGCAGTCTCGCAAGTTCAAAGCCCTCTTCCTAAATGAGCAGAGGAATGGTGAATTGTAGCAACTAGGAGAAGAATACCAGCTAGTTTTAAAACAGCTGGACACAACCTACAGTCATCCTAGGAGAGGGACCTCAATTAAGAAAAGGCCTCCATAGATCAGGCTGCCAGCAAGCCATAGAGCATTTTCTTAATTAGTGATGGATGGAGGAGAACCACAGTGGGTGGGGCCATCTCTGGGCGGGTGATCATGGGCTCTGTAAGAAAGCAGTTCTATGTGCAAGCCATGACAAGCCAGCAAGCAGCATCCTTCCATGGCCTCTGCATCAGCTCCTGCCTCCAGGTTCCTGCCCCGCATGAGTTCCTGTCTGACTTCCTTTGATGAGGAACCAGGCTGTGGAAATGTAAGCTGAATAAACCGTTTCCTTCTCAAGGCTTTTGGCCATGGTGTCCCATCGCAGCAATAGAACCCTGACTACGACCAGGAGGGACGCTGATCATCTGCTTCTCACCCTACAGCTTCAAGCTCCTTCCTTGCTTTGTGAGTGTGTGTGTGTGGGGGGAATCCTATGCTACAGGCCAGAAGGTCTCTACCCAGCCCTGATTCACCCAGAGTCACGTGGCCAGAACAAGTCTGAGTTGCTCTCCCACAGGTCAGGTGTTCAAACCTGGAAAATACCACAAGCCTGAAGCCATACAGCTACTGCTTCTGTGATGGCTCCCAAGAAACAAAGGGATAGAGTGTGTGTTGAGGCTGAAGCGGGGCTTGCTCATGCAATTATAGAGCCTACAAGTCTTGAGAGTCACAGGCAGAATGCTGGAAGCCCAAGAGAACTGAGGCTAGAGCAGTGTCTGTAATTTAAGGGGCTGCCAGGTTTTAGCAGGAGAAGGGACAGCCTTTTTGTTCTATTCAGGGTTTCAATTGATTGGGATAATATCCCAGTGAATACGTGCACACGTGCATGGGTGCACGCATACATACACACACATACTTACACACACATACATACATACATACACACACATACACACAAATACACACACACACACACACACACACCAAAAGGAGCAGAGGTTTATTCTATGTCATGGGTTTAGTCTACAGTCATTCGGCCCTGCTGGTTTGGGCCTGTGGTAGCAGAGCATGTCATGGCAGAAGCACATGGCAAAGGAAGCATATTCAACTTGGCAACTGAAAGGCAAAGAAGGAGATTAGAAGAGCCTGCGTCCCCATGTCCCCTCCCAAGGACGTCCCCCAGTGACTTTTCCCTCTTCCTAGGTCCCACCTTCTGAGAATTTGACACTACCTCCAAGAGGCTGGAGACCAAACCTTTACTGCATCTGCCCTTGGGAGACATTCCCATTCTAAACTATAGTGCTCACACAAAACATCCTGAAGAAGCTCCCGGAATAGCATTTGGACCGTCAGTTTGATCAACCCTGGTTCAGTAAAGTTGACACATAAAATGAACCATAACAATCGTGTAGAGAAGGGCCAGCTCAGCTCAGGGGCAAGCCAGAACGGGGCAAGCCAGAACCAGAAGAGACTGGAGGAGAAGGTGCCAGAGGGTGCCAGCAAATACAGCTT